TGGTCTAAAGCACCTACTTAGAACAAGCTTAGCAAAGCACAGGGACCACGGTTCAATCCCCCAGCACCACATGCCAGCCAGCCCTGCCCCCTGGTAGGCTGAGCTGGCCACACACAAATTTTTTTAAAAAACCAATATTAAAAGTCTTCATGTTTACATGACTTTTCATGAGACAGCATTTGACAGTGAGGAAATTCTTATTGTATGTTCTATGGAAACACCTGTAATAATTTTGGTTCAATTAGTATTGCAAATACAGTATTGAGCAACCATAAATGTAAGTAATGTACACAAGTTATCAGTTCTATAGATTACCCTTATGTTTTTTTTTGTTGGCAGTACCGGGGATTGAACTCAAGCCCTTGGCTTGCTAGGGAAGTGCTTATTCTACTGACCCATCTCCCAGCCCAATATATCTGATTTTAAAAGTCTTGTTAGATAAATGAACTACAAAAAAGAAAAATGGGTTATATGCACCAAAACAAAATGGAAAATGACAAGGAATGTTCACTTTGGGGTTCATAGTACCTTATTAATGAACAAAAGTTGGCCACCCCTCTATTCATCAATTGGAGTCCTAGTAATTTCTACCCACTCCAAGTAATTTTTGTTTAATTAGCTTGAACTTTTGATCAGCTATATATAAATATCACAATTTTGATATCACTTAGACCACCTGGTAACAGGAGAAAGTATTTTTCTGTACTACATTTAGAGAAGGGTCTACAGGGTGCTCAGGGTCTCACTACTAGATTGGACTCAGTGATTCTCCTGTTTACAGCCTCCCAAGTGCTGGGATTACAGGCACACACCGCCATGCCCAGTCTCAGTTGTGGTCTCTGCGCCTCCAGGGTGGGCCCAGCATGGCAGGCCCAGGAATCAAAGTCCTTGCCCCTGTGCCTGCTTGCAGGCGCTTGAATCCTTTGAGTTATTTGGCCGGCCCCTGAAAGTATGTTTTTAAGTCTTTATCTCAAATAGTATTATGAACAAATGATCAAAACAGAAAAAAGAGGAACATCTGTTCACAGAATGACACCCAAACACAGACCACACAAATATCTTTACATAATCGGATATATTTTTGGCCAAATTAAATTATAGTAACTACTACAATTTTTATGAATTTATAATTTTAAATAGACTAAGATTTTGTTATCAATTAGCAGAGATCTCTTATCAGAATAATTTGGAAGGAAGGCTGGCCAAATAGCTCAGCAGATTAAAGCACCTGCAAGCAGGCACAGGGGCCACGGTTCAATCTCTGGGCCTGCAGTGTCAACTCCACCCCTGGGGCAAGCTGAGACAGCAACTGAGACTGGGTGTGGTGGGGCGTACCTGTAATCCCAGCTCTTGGGAGGCTGTAAACAGGAGAGTCACCATGAGTCTGATCTAGTAGTGAGAACCTGAACACCCTATAGACCCTTCTCTAAAATACAAAAAAAGAAAAAAAATTGGAAGAAATAAAATCTATAATTAATATGCATATTTTGTATTTTTGTCTTAATACTAATAAAATTTAGCTCAGTTATTTTATATATTTTATCACCTGTTTAGACCTTAGATTTCCATTTAGTCAGTTTCTTGAATAGGCCTCAGGCTGGATCTAGCCTCATTGCTGTTAACATCGTCTCCAGATCTGGCTTTATGATACAGCCTGAAAACATGCTCTGGTGCCCAAATAGGTTCTTCAGCATTCTCTGGAAAAAAAAAAACAGGCATATCCTCTGCTCCAGGTTAGTAGTGGACTGGGTCCTTCTCATTGTCCAGTGTGGAGATCTCTCCAAAGGACCTTTCCTAGCCTTTGTTTCTTTCTTTTTTTTTTTACCTGATGGAACTGTTTTGCTGTTGTACTTTCATCTTTGTAAAATTTAAAGAATTTAATAGTATATATTTACAAGTGAAGTTGGAGGGATAGATTTTTGTTTTTGTAATTGAATTTTGA